GCTCCCTGTTAACTCATACTCTCCGTTCTGTAGAATCTCTTCATTCCCTGTCTGGGAAGGTGGGCGCTTACACTCCAAACTCACATATAAGAAATCTCTAAATTCGGTGCAGCCCTGGGCCTTTCTTACCGTACAGCACCATTTTGGCCCCTCAGATTGTTTCTAACAAAACAAGCCAATTTCAGCATAGAAGACTTTCTTACTATGCTTCTAGGTCAAGCAGGGCAGTGCTTGGATACACGCAATGAACCTGGCCCTTTTGGTTCAACTTGCTCAGGAATCATTAATTGGGTTGGATCAAATACAGATGGTGATCACTGTGTCTGCCGTGAGGCAGAAAATTTTGCAGATGTAAGCACAAGTTTGAAGCATTTTCATGGTGTCGGACTAGTAGTATTTCTTATGCTTTGAGGTCTTAATACTGGGAAGCTTTCTTACAAGTCTGTGATATTTCAGCATCAAGATGTTCTTAACATTCTCTAGAATCTCAGGGCTCGCTTTCTTATAGTGGAGTTTCTTATATTCGAGTTTGGAGTGTATGGAACAATGATTTTGAGTTGGACGGGACTGTTATAACCTTGAAAAATACTTGAGATTCAGATTGTTTGCGTTCAATGGGTAAAACAGGACCATTTTTAACATGGTGCTTTTATTGGGTTTGCAATGAGAACCAGTTGACACTTTTGTACGTCAGGCTGCATGTCAGAAGGCCCACTGCCCCACAGACCCAGTTTTTGACGCCCTAATATCCGCCTTCACTCATGTTTGTCTGTGGTCAACTCGAATCTCGAATGCCAAAACCGAAGGCTCAACAATTGCCTGCCTAAGACCCAGTGCCTTCTCTGAGTTCATTGGGGCAGAAAATGAATTAAAGAGAGCAATAAGGAATGATTGTGGTGCATGCGGTGCTTTGGGAGCTTGGGTCGATTCGTCGATTCTGGTACCGAAAATAATAACAAATAACATGGCGAAGGTACAAATAAATAATATCCATAGCGGACGGTCCCAAGCTGTACCGGTACCTGTTGTTGGTACATACAGTAGGTGCGGTACCGGGATGTGCGTGAGACATATATGGGAGCTTCTAGTTTTGCGAGTGGAGAAACAAGAAAGCCATGATAGCAGCCACTGCTTTGGCCACTGTGGCCTGCCTGAGCTCCAGATAGATCTGATCCACTTCGGGAACGTGTGGAACCTTGAGCTCTTGGGAGATGGGAGCGGCTAGCTACATCGTACTAGTACTAGCTAGTAGACAGTTCAAGATTTCGGGGAAGATCTTGTGAAGAGCCGAAGGCCACTTCATCGCACCGTACCGGTACTGATAGTATCCCCAAAAGTTTGCTTTCCAATCCGACGGGGGTGATAGCTATGATAGCCAGGATGAATGATCAATCACAGCTATCTAGAATCTTCTCGATTCTGATTCGGCTCTCCGCGGTCTTTTTGGCTTCTGGGTGGTTCGTTTTCCCGATGGCCACAGCAAGGCCTGGGCTGTTGGGCTATTAGACGGGAAATACTATGTGCTGGCTGCGCAGGTTTCTATCAAAATCAACTTGATGCTGCGGTTTGCATACAACTGGTAGACTCGACGCTTCTACATGTTGAGCTGCTGGGCTGCTAGCTAGCAAGGGCTCCGATCTGGCTAGCTCATTAGGGCAATTCAGCGTTCTTGAATTGCTTTGTTCACACTTTGCTTCTTAACTTTCAGCCATGGTGGCTGCGCGGCTGATGAGGTGGTCCTCGTTTCCCTGCTGCCTCTTCTCCCTCACTCAGAGTTCAGAGTTGCATAGCCCTACTAGCTATGATAGCTTCTTTTCTGGTTCGGTGCAGCTATCGGTAGCCTCTCGAGCTGGCACTGAACTTTGAACTTCTTCCTGTCAGAGTGCAATGCCCCAGCTTCTTTTCGGGTTGCACTTCGATGCAGCTATAGCCTCTCCAGCTAGCACTGGACTTCGAAGGCTATGTATCACTGTATCCCATTATGACAACATGATTCTGGCTACTAGCTAGTACTGAAGGTGGTTGTCCGCTTGAGGTCATCTTTGAGATTTGGAGACAATACTGCTACCAATGATGAATTGCAATCTCAGCTGTCGGGGGTGCAATGGCACAGCAGATTGGCCTTGTCCCATCCAAAGTCGTTGCCATGCCGTAGATCAGAAGATGATACCAAAAACAACAAAGTAAATGCAAAATAGCCAGTGCGATGATCCTTTCTGCTGAACACCAGGATGCTCAGCATTCTTATCTGCATTCTCAGTACCAAAATTCCATGAAGATCTGCCTCAACCTGGGAAATTCCAAGCCCTACAAAGTGCCTTCCAGACAATCATTCAGCCATCAAATGAAACTGCCACAACAATGAGCAATGAAGAATCAATCAAGTCATCATAGGATGTGTCTTTGAAACTTCCCTACGTGGCCATGCGTTTGATGAAACCATGAGTTGGGAAGATTTGAGCCTCTCATCAATGGGGACTGTGGAACTGCAAACCTGTGTTCAGAGCATGCTTCTTTGCCCCTTGCCACCTGCCTTTCAGGATGCATATCCAACACCAGAGGCCCTCTAGCTGTATCTGCACAAGTCAAGAGGACAGATCATGTTCCAACACTTCCATCTTTTTGCAAGGCAAAAGCTTCCAGCGACATCAATCGCTTATCAAGGCAATCTTGCAATGCCTTGCACTCATTGTCCTTCTCTTGATGGTCTCTCCAACCTTTATACATGTGTACCAAGCAGGAACAGCCATCGCATCAACAGAAGAACTGAATGAAACTGTGGATCGAGGAGCGCGGTGGCACTGGCTTCCACTGGTACTGGTAGGCCATTTTGGATGCAGAGCTTCTCAGCGGTAGTCATTCTTTGCAAGTGGATTGATAGGCCGCTACCAAGAAGTAGATGTTGCAATCCCTTCAACATATTATGCATCTTCGCTGATGGTTTGTTGGCCGATGAGAACTTTCTGCCCACTGTCCATCATGCACATTCATCGTATAGCCTCATTGGTCCTTCGTCCATTCATTCTTTACGGGCCCCTTCATGTTTGGGACTTTCGGATTGGCAGCTTCTTGGGAGACTTTCGTCTATTCTGGCTCTTCCACGATTGCCTGGGAACCACGATCCACTCGTCTGTCCAGGTCAAAGCTTGCGAGACTGGATTGTGGAAGGAATCTGTTTGGATGGGTGGAGCCAAGCTTGAGTCGAGTCCATGAGGACTTTGCCTCATTCTGTTCTCACCGGTGAAACTGGTGGGCACCTGAATGCCCCACTCTCTTACGTCAATTACTACTGCTGTCACCACCAACCATTGCTCCACAACTACACCACCTTTGAAGCTTGCGCTTGTTGATGAATCGGTAGTAGTACTAGAGCCCTTTTACTTGTATGTTAGAAGCGTCGTTTCGTGAGTATCAGCCGCCAAAGTGCCATTGTGGTGTTCTTTTAGTGTGGATCTTGCCAGGTTTCCCATGGTTCCCACGCAACCAACTTCGCGCCATTTCAGAAAGCGAAGACAGAGCATGAGCCAAGCGCGCGACCGCCACTATTCTCTTTCCTCTTTCTGGGTGCCCTGCGAGATCGGAAGAGCCCTAACTCTATTAATAGCACGCGATCTTTCGGCCTGGCCAGGCCAAGGATCGAAGTCCAAAGAGCACAACATGTTGCCCACCATTCGGTTGACAATCACGAAAGTTGGCTTTCTATTGATAGTGCAGAAGATCTTGATAGAATCAGAATATCAGACTGTGATACAGCTTGTCTCAATATGACGAGCATGATGATGCTTTCCAATGAGGAACTTTCGTCCGTGTTTTCGGACTTGACTCCCATTAAACAAGATGATGGTCCCAATCCAGTCTGTGCCATTGACTATTCTCCTCAGTTCATTCAAGCCTACGACTACATGAGAGCCATCTTGTCAGCCGGAGAAAAAAGTGGTGAGCCCAACTATCACGGTACAAGCTTCATCAAACTACAATCTAATCTATCTGCTGTTTTTCAATTTTGTCTCATTATTTTGTCTTGTCCGTCTGTTGCCACCTCCTCATTGCTGTATGTATAGAACGGGCGCTGCGATTGACTGGTTTGTGTTTGAAGTTAAATCCTGCCAATTACACCATTTGGCACTTTCGCCGTCAGTGTTTATTGGCGACTCATACCAATGAAGAAGAGGGCGAAGATGGTAATAACAACATCAACAATCAGCAATGGATACAACAAGATTTGGAATTGGCTGCCACACTCGGTGGGGACAATCCCAAGAATTATCAAATTTGGTATCATCGACGAGCTTTGCTTGAAAGTGTCCAAGACCGGACTCCCTACGTTCAGGCCGAATTGGACTATGTTGCCAAGGTACTGGATGAAGATTCCAAAAATTACCATGCCTGGTCACATCGACAATGGGTCGTTCGGACATCTTCAAACTGCCAAGAGGATTTGTGGGACAAGGAACTTGAATTTGCCCATTCCATGATTCAAAAAGATCCACGCAATAATTCCGCATGGAATCAACGCTGGTTTGTCTGTCACAAGGGTGGAGAAGACAAAACGCTCTCCTTGGAAGTTGCCACCAAAGAAGCGGATTATGCCATTCAAGGAGCTGGACTCGATCCCTACAATGAATCCCCCTGGCGTTATCTCATCGGAGTCATCAAAGAACAATGTAAAATTCTACAAGCTGCCGAAAAGGACAAGTTCTTGGATGACTACGACCAAAAAGCATTTGGACTTCGAGCTGTGCTGGAAGAAGCAGGTAATGATCCCAATGATTGTGCCAGCCTCACTTCTGCACGAATTGATATCCTCGAATTCAAGGGGGGTGAACAGTCCCTTGAAAAGGTAAGATGACATAGCGTAGAAATTTATCATGGATGGTTGCGTGCAAGATCCAATCTGACCATTCTCTTCGGGGACATACTTGAACTTGATGGAATAGGCCATGGAGCTTGCCAATGGATTGGCCACACAATACGACCCCATCCGTAAGAAATACTGGAACTTGAGAGTCAACGAAATGAAGCAAGTGTTGGCCAAGTAGGAAGAAATACTTGAGTTGAGGTAACTACGATTCGGGAAGCAGGGTTGAATGAAGAATCACACCAGGATGTCCCTACACCGGACCGATCGTGACAGCTTTGGATCGTTAAGTTGCATAGCATCATTTATTTCTACTTCTCTCTTTTTGAACACCTATTGGTATGGGGAAGGATTGTCGTTCTTTGGTGTGTCCACCTCTCCCTGTCCAGTATCCAATGCTGTCTATTAGTACCTAATGTCCAAAGTACGGTACCGGTAGAATACAGACTACCATGCAATAGAATGTACTGGGATGCCAGCTGTCGCTGATGAAGCAAATCTTGCAGTTCTGCATGGCAACAACGGCACTTGGGAGTAAAACGAAGAGGTTACTGAACGTAGCCTTCGTTGCGCATTTGCGAGTTGTTCCCGGTACTTCATAAATCTCATCAGCAACATTATTGCTATGGACCGTACCGATTCAATCATGCAATTCGATTCCGTCACAGCACGAAACCACGCAGCCGCTAGCCAGTACTGTAGCCCATCAGCGACCACGAACAGGACGAACCAAGGATCACTCACTCACGCATGCATGCGCTGGCTAGCTAGTGAATGTCCAAACAACATGTTATTGTTACACTCGAATCAAATCGAATCATTCCGACAAGTCACAATTCAAATCAAGACCATGACATTGTGGCTGTTGCCTCGATCGCTACCGGTACGGAGGTAGCTACAGATTCCCCACTTCCATTGCTGCCGTGGTACCTTGATCTTCCTTGGTCGTTTTGACGACTCCCGCACGAAGATGCTTTTTCGCGGTGGCACCGAATCGTTCTCGGTAGAGTTCGTCCAGTGTCATGTGTTGGAGTGCCGCTTTTTGATTGTCGAATCGATTCATGTATTTGAGCTGTGTGTGTTCCTCTCTCAAAAACTTTTTGGTTTGACAACCACAGAGAAACAGTAACGGCACAAACAAGAGGACGTAACACACGTGTTTGATCCATTTGACAATATCCAAACAGAATCGTCCCACCAGCCCCAATCGCGCTGGATAACTGAGAATGTAAGCATGCGGTGACAATGTGAGATGAAATCCGGCTCGTCGAAAATGACTGCCGTAGCAACAGCACATGGGCAACGCCGGTGACTGTGTGACGATATCCCTATAGTTGGCCACGTGTATGCATCGTAACCAATTCTTTTCTTCGAGTGACTCGAATGCTTTTAGAAACTGTAGATTGCCGACTTTGGGTGCCCCCGATGTGATGCAGGTGACTGGTTTGGTAATGCCCGATGTTGTCGCAGCACATTCAAAGGCAAAAATGGTGGCTATAGACCAAACGCGTGCATCGAAACAAAGAACGAGATGCACGCATGAGGGCGACTTTTGGACGACGAGGACCTGGCAGGTTTCAAGAGGCTACTGTGCTCACTTACCCAGAGCTCCTCCTGCATCATTATTTCAAAATCAACGAACCGTGTAGACCAGACCGGCGCCATTGAGAAGGATTGTCAGTTAGCTAGTTGCAGTTTCACCGAACAAAGAAGAAGCAAGCCCAACCATTCCGTACTCTCAAGTAACTTATGTATAAACGTACCTAGTGAATGTCCTCCAATATACAATCGGTAGTGTGGATAATCGGCAAATACCTGTTTGACCTGATCCATGATGATTTCATATTTCTTTCCACGGGCAGGTTTGTTGGTGGTGGTGCTATTACTAGTATTGGGCTGTTCTCGTGGTTGTTGGTGTGTGACGGAACCCTGGAGATCGACTTCAATGGTTTCTTTTTGTTGCGTCCCCGTTGGTCTATTATTGCCTGTTTCCTCGTCATTGTCATTGGGTGTATTGTCATTGTTTGCTGCTTTTGTTTCGTTGCCTTGTTGCTGTTGTTGATGATGATGTGTCACTCCGACCATATCCGTGACGGTTCCCACGCCGCTTGCAAGAGCATGAACTCCCGTCATGGCGACGGTTCCCACGGCCGTGACACCCTTTTTGGTGACATCGACGGCCGTAGTTCCTGCCGTCTTGACTCCTTTTCCTACCATTTGGACTCCGTCTTTGGCGACATGCGCCGTTTGTGAGAGTCCTTCCTTGACGAGTGACGGAATGAGATATTCGTGCCAGGGCAATTCTTCGTAGAGATACTCTTTGAATCCCATGTGTAGACCCAACAGTTTGGGTGCCACGCCCATGGGATTGTCGATTTGAGTCAACAAGACTTTGGAATCTTGGACGAAATCTTTGGTAGTGACAGAACCGCGAAAGAGTACGGACACTAGCTTTTTGGGATGATTGACTGATAGAGAGTAGACGCATTCTTGATCTCCCTTTTCATCGTCCATGACCAACAATTGAATGTCTGGCAAATCGGGATGATTCAAATCCATACTCTGATTGTACATGGTAGCGCGTTCGTCATCCTTGACGAGTTCTTGCATTCGTGTCATGTTGGCATTGAAAATGGTGGCGACATCCAATGCGGTGCAAGGACACGCCAAGACACGTTGCAGCATCTCTGGATCGCCCTGTAACTGTTCGCCATTGCGCATCAATGTCCGCATATCGGGCAACACAAACATCAAGTAGGCGGCGGCCAACATCCGACGGGCTTCGGCATAGAGTGACATTTGTTGGACCGTGCCATCGCCGTGTTCCACATCTTGAAATTCTTCGATTTGACCCAACAAGGCTGCCTTGGCGCCGCCCTTTTTGGCTTGATCACCATTACTGGGGCCCGTTCCAAAGGGCATGATGTGCTGATGTACTAGTAGCTAGCTAGCTAGCTGTAGTGATTGATGAATGAAGACAAGCAAAGTACACGCAGTGGTGGTCGGGAACTCAGACAGAGAAATGAAGAAATGAAGCGTCGCAAAACATTGATGGGGGTTTCGGGGGTCATCGAGTCGCCAAAAAAGACCAAATGCAATAAATCAGTAGTTGAGGTAACATATTAACGTCCCACTTTGCTTTGAATCTTTATAAGAATAAAAAATAACATACAGTAGGTTTACCACATCTTCCTGACATCCTCAAGCTTTTCCAGCGAGCTCATGATGTTACAGTCCAGCAAGCGCCACCACCAGTTCGGCTGATGACGACTGGAAACATGCCATGACCAAGACAGCAGCCTTGCCTTGCCTTGGACACATATGACATATAGTCGCCAATCGAATCCAATGTAATTTCTTCTTCTATAAGCAGGATGATGGAACGCCAAGCCCAAAGAACTACAGGAGGAGACAATCGACTGGGAATTGATGATCCTCGTCGAATGGATTTGTCTCCACAGGAAAAGAGACACGCCATGGCAATCAAGCAAGCAATTGAAGGCACTGCCGAAATAGACAACTTGTCAGACTTCTTTTACTGTCAGTTCGCTCTGATAGAAGGGAGCAATGTTGAAGGAGCCTTGGAGAGAGCCAAACACCTGCAAGCCTTTCGAGAGGAATACAAGATTATGGAAACCAAAGATCATGGATACCAAGTGCTCGAGGCATTCATTCAGCTGTCTCCACAACATTTCCTCTCCTATGAGTTTCAAGACAATTCTTACACCATGATCCTTAACCTCAAGGGATTGCAACCCAAAACTTATCTATCCACACCTAAAACGTTCGGGACATGGATCACGGGATTCTACTATATGCATCACTGCTTTTGCCCTGACTTTGAAACCATCCGACAAGGGGTTTCCTTTTATGCGGAATGTCATGGCTATGATAGTAGCCTGCATGTCAACCTGAAATTCGCCATGCGCGTGTGCGCAGAATGTATGACTGTATACCCATTCCGTCTTCGGAAAGCACATCATTTTCATACTTCCATCATGTGTAATTTGATGGTTGCAGCAATCAAACGAGTCATGCCTGCCAGCCTGGGCACCAATAAAATCAAAGTGGGCTGCCAAGCACCCATGTATCTTGATGAGATTTACTTATCCCCGTCTGTTGAAGCATCCAATCAAAAGACACTGCAACGATGGAAGGCTGCACTGGCAAAGCGCTACCGCAACGAACACACATTCTCCTTGTTGCCATGACGCACGCATTCTCCTTGTAGTGCACAGTTTTGCATTGCAAAGAATAGTCTAGATGGCACTATAAGGGACACTGGCTACTACGAGTAGCAGCAAGCTCAATAGAAAACACAACAAGCCAAGAACTCGGAGAGAACGCTTACCTGGTTTGGCGGCGGATACAGCTGGTAACCGGATTAATCCATGATACCGCTCAGAATCACGTCCATGCTGTCCTTAGTTGGGAGGTATGCATACCTGAACCCTTCCTTGACCATCATCAGCACTGGGTATTCCAAGCAATGTACATACATGAAGTACCGTTGGCTGAGAATGTTGCTACATGTACAACCATTGAGGGGGGCCGTAAAGTGTTGCCGATTGTCTGCCCTACCGGGAGTGTTCCATCAAACGTCAAACGTGAAGCAGCAGCTCATTATTTGCCAGAACAGACCCTTAGATGGATGCCATCTGCTAAGCAATGTTCTCTGGATGGAGCTACTGCATAGAGGTAAAAGCCAGTGAACTTTGCTAGACTATTTATGTAGGTCGTTGGATTACAAACGACCACCAGCTCCAGCAAGTCCGGCATCCTTGTCTTCAACAGGCTTTCCAACGTCTCCGGCAGGGGTTTCATCAGCATTGTGCCACTCCATGAGTTCTGTGACATCAAATTTGGGTTTCTTCAATACCTTTACCTTTCGGATGTAGCAATCCTTAATGGGGAAGATGGAGGATGCCTCTCGGGCAATCTTGTCTCCGATTGGAGCGGAGATGAGTTCCTTGACAAGACTCTTCAAGTCGCCCTTGGTTCCCAATTCCATCATGGTGGATACCATCTTGGTCCGAATTGCTCGTTCTTGAGCGGATTTGGCATAGCATGTGTTTTTTATTTGGTTTTCTTGGGATCGAGTAAATGCGATGCAGAACATGCGAATCATGTATCCATCGGTGGTCTTGCAGTCTACATTTCCTTCAATGATGGATTGCTTTTTGCGGATCAAACTGCAGAGCTTGTCGCGTGTCATGTCCATGCCATGAAAGTTGAGGAGACAGTTGTATCCCTGGACATCCTCGATACAAAGCTTGATCTTTCGGTAAGCCAAAGCTTCGTTCTTGTTCAAGTCGGCGAGACTAAACTCAAAGACTCGTCCCTTCAAACCATCGGAAGCAATCTTGGTTCCCTGTGTCTTGGTAATCAATGTCTTACCAGCGTCCTTGACAGCAAAGATGGAGGGAGCAATCAGCTTATACCATTCTTTCTTGAGAAAGGGGTCTACAGCCTTTTTTCGGCTTCCCTTCTTGCTCTTTGTCAATCGCTTATTTTTTCCCTGTTAAGTTAAACAAAACAACAGAGAAGCAGGTTAGAACTTGATTGAACTGAATTGGGTCTATTGGCAGCAGATAGATGTTGCGATGGTATCAGCTGCGTAGCAGCCAGATCGCCTGGAGACGAGGATTATGCTGTTGATACCCCCCCACTCCATACTGGCCACATCTAACCTCATGGAACGGTCGACGACAAGGGAGTAACTTACGATGGCCATGGTGAAACTTGTTTTAAAACCAAATGCTAAAGAGTCAAGAGGCTGGTTGGGTAGTAGCTTCGTTCAATCAACTCTTCGACACGACAAGTCTTCGACGATGACGACAACACAAGTGATGGAAACGAAGGGACAGCAGCCAAGCAAAATATTTTTAGTAAAGAGCAAGGCGGTATGTGACTCAAACCGTGACTAAGTCCAAACAATCATTAGGGATAGAGGCAGTATCATTGATCACTTTGTTCGCCGGGACTGAATGTACCAGTACAGAGATTGTTAATTAGTAAGATCACCTCTAAAGCATCAATCCTAAAGTGTCTAGGAAAGATACAGATTTAATGGTCGGTTCTGTGGTACCGTACACTAGATGGATAGTTGAGGTCGCAATTAAAGGAAAGATGCCCTTGACATAAAAAATGAGACACTGCTTACTGGACTTACGTTTTGTTCACACTTCGCTCTGCGCGATCAAAGGCACAGCGAAAAACATCAAGAGTTTGTGAACGCAAAACAGATCTTGCAGATCGCCAAATAGCACTTGCTTGCGGTGCTGGGTTCTGGGATTGGCTGCCGAGCAACACCTCCATATTTGATTCAATCTTCTAAGCTCGAGAGAGTTGGAAGCTGGGATAGATTCGGTACCCAAGTCAATCAATCAGCCGCAACCAGCCATGATACCGATTGGCATGATTGCACTGCTGCTGTTGGCATCGGTGATTTCCACTGGCTTAGCCGCAGTACCGGTATTGTTGGCCGAGGAGAACTCGTCCATAGAGGAGGAGGCTGCTGCCAATCTTCGAGGTCAAAGCACAAATCAGCATGTCACATCTGCACACTCTCCCTTTCCCCCTGTCACCACTGAAGGGGCGGATGCTCAGGAGGATGCCGTTATTATGAATAAAGTTCCGATTGCCCAACAACAACTGCGAGGACAACGACGACAGTTGGACAATAATAGCATTGGCGACTTTTCGCTTCCCAACATTCCCACAGCACGCATTGTTGGTGGGAGTCCAGTAGTAGACGTAGCTGAGGAAGGTTTGGACTTTTTCGCCCAATGGGTCGCTTGTGGCGGTGTCTTGATTCATTCGGATATCGTCCTTACTGCCGCCCATTGCTTGCTCAATGACACTAATGTCCTACAATATCCCGTCTTGGTGGGTGGACAAACGCGTCACCAGGCCCTGGAATCCCGCACCATTACGGGCCATCGACGGCATCCCATGTACGCACCTCATCTCTTTGATGCCTACGACTTTCTCCTTCTCCAATTGGATGCACCCATTACCAGCATTACACCCGCCACACTCAATACGGATGCAGAGCTACCCAGCCCAAATGCGGAACTCACCACCATGGGATACGGGCATACCCAGGAATTTGGCTCCAGCATGAGTCCAACGTTGAACAAGGTCAATGTCCATGCCATTCCCAACTGTACCGACTTGCATGGTTGGTACCAAGATAAAGTCATGGACATTGTCATGCTCTGTGCCGGGGTATTGGGGGGAGGCAAGGATGCCTGCAAAGGGGATTCGGGGGGACCGCTCGTGGATGTAACCACCAAAGTTGTCATGGGGTTAGTGAGCTGGGGTCAAGGGTACGTCTAGTCTCGTCTAGTCTTCTTCGTTCATTGGTTGCCTCTGCAGACTCGACTCTAACATCTCCGTCTGATATTTCACTCTGTCTCCTCTCAGCTGCGCCCGACCCAACGTGCCGGGGGTGTACAGCCGCATCAGTGCTGTCACGGATTGGATCCAGCAACAGCTCTGTGACCTGTCAAGAGAACCACCCAGTACCTGTACTCGTTCTGCTCCAAGTCTGTTGTTGCCGCTGCCAACGCCCACGGCCTCGATTCGCATCGATATCGTCTACGATGGCTTTCCCGCGGAAACGTCGTGGCAACTGACAGAACAAGACACTGGAACGGTCCTCCATAATATGACACTGGGGAATGAAGAATCCGACGCCAACAGCTTGGTGTCGGTGGTTGTTTCAGGGCTACAACTGGGTCGAGTTTATGTATTTGAAATCTTGGATTCCTTTGAAGATGGAATCTGCTGTGAATAGTGAGTAGTGGCTGCTAGCAAGTTAGATAGGTGCAAATGGTGGGTGAATGCCGTACTGGATGCAATGAACTAACAGCAACTTTTCTGCTGGTTCTTTCTATCGATAGTGGCAATGGCTCTGTGGATATTGACAAGGTGTCCAGCACAGATGCATCTACAAGCTTGGGTGTCCTGTGGCAGCTCCCTGGAAACTTTGGCGCCCAACAGACTGTCAACATTGTTCTGTAGCAGATGGCTAGCTAGCTGTGCACCGTAGTGTTGGTGTCGCTAGCTGGAGAGCTACAGGAGGCTGAGAAGAAAGCTGTGCTCCAGCAGCTACCAGGCTCTCCTCGAAGAGTGGACCTACCGGTAGCTAGCTAGAGCAACGAGCCAACCTGGGAGCATGGCACGCCTGAACAGCGCCACTGTAGTGGCTGTTGTTTGTTGTCCTTCCCGTTCCATGTCATTGGGCGTGCGGGTTGGTTTGGGACTCGACTCCCGAGTCAGATCACGGTAAATAATGTTGCTTGCTGCAGCTGCCGCCAATGCTGTCTGCAAGAGGAGCGATACGAACATACGAACGTTCAACTGCACCTCAAACGTTCTGCACCTCAAGAGAGACCTCAAGCGTCATTGAAAATGTTCCAGGGAGACAGCACCAAGAGCTCTTCATCGACCATGACGAACTGGTGTGCATAAGGTATCCACCAAGTTTATGTTGGTGGTCCGCCACCACCTCACCACCTACACCTTGAGCCAGACTCGCTGTATGTTTGGCTGCAGCAAGCTGTCAACTCCGTCAGCAAGAGGAGCGAAAATGTTCAACAACTTCAGCTCAAAAGACCGACCTCAAGGGTCTTTGGATAGGTTCCAGGGAGACTTACTTTAACAATTTAAACAGAAGCTCTTCATCGACCGTGTGTTTTGCACGAAGGTTTCTGAACTAACTGCAACCGTAATCTGCCGAAGTACCTGAAGTGATGTTTCATCAAACAATAAAAGTGCTGACTCCGGAAACACAAGCAAGACCATGACCACCAGGGTTAAATCCCCAACATACCCAGTCAGCTGTATGGTGCTGTACTGCTGTACTGCACAAGCGCGGTAACAAATCCTCTCGGTTCCATTCAATGCATCGACTATTGCAATAGCTAGCTAGCCGGTTCCTCCGAAGTTGTGCTGGCCAGCTAGCTAGTAGCCAGTAGCTCCAGGCTATCCATCGTAAACTTGGTTGCTATTTCGGTATCTATCTTGCCTGGTCAGAGGCAACCCGTTTTATGATGGGGCGCAGCCGATACCTTATCTTAGTTCAGCAGTCAGAGACTGGCAGCCTCTGCTTAGCTGTGGTATCTACACCGCACCCATCGTTGGTCTCGATATCATCTGAACCAATGCGCCTACCGGTAGCTAGCTATAGCCAGGCAATCAGCTAAAGAGAAAATAATTCAAGTGACAAAATCAAATTATGTAAAGATTATCAGCAGTATAAAAATGGGTTGCAAAAGGAGAGAAAGGGAAAACTGAAAACTGGGAGTAGCAAGAGGCATGGAAGGGAGGAGGACGCTTGCATTCTAGCTAGCTAGCTAGTAGTCTACTAGTTGCCAAGCATGCGACCAATTCGTTCGTTTCTTCGGTTCATGACTCGCTCCCGAATGTTGTGCAGCCGGGCAACGCGTTCTTGGTCGTTAAAGAAAGCCTTCAAGTCCTGGCTGTTGGGTTGTTCCTCATTGAATGATTCAGACTCGTCTTCACTGTCGCTGTCATCGCTATCACTGTTGGCAGCAATCAATTCGGGACAGTGTTCCTTCTTCCAGGCCGAAATCTCGGATTGGAGTTCAAAATGGCGGGCCAGGTCGTTGGTGCTCAATGGCTTTCGTGTGAGAGGGCAGGTTGCATTGCCGTGGATGAACATCCATTCCATGATGGCTCGTCGTTCAAATGTCATGCCCGTTCGTCGATCGCAAACGGGGTATTCCATGACTTCCAGAGAGATGGGGCAGAAAAAGTGTTCTGGAGCAGAGGTAGTGGTAGCAGCAGAAGATGTTGATGATGATGATGCCATGGTTAAATTAAAATTGGTAGGGGATTGATAAGAGTAGCTGATTGCTTTTGCTTTGGTTTTGGTTCTTGCAAGTTTTGATTTTATGACAAGAAGAGATGGGGAGAATTTTTTGAACCACAAAGAGAAGATCTGCTCATCTGCTCAGTTGTTGTGAAGTTGAGTGATCTGCCGAAAGGAGGCTATAGGTACACAGGTACCGGTATTCCTCATTCCGCTAACTTTGTCGTGCGATTACGTTGTCGGAGGTGGCACGCTGCGAGAGAACACGGTACGATGTAGCTCTTGTGCCTCTACTAGCTAGCTAGTGCAGCTCCGCTACCGCTGGTAATCATCAAAAACGAGAGCTTTCTGGGAAGCTACAATCTAAATGCCATATCATTGTTGTTTTATTTAACAACTCTGCCGGGGAAAATGTCCAATGCTGCACAAAACAAATGTGCTAGTGAAATAGGATCATTGGAACATACGAGTAGAGTGCAGTGCTTTTTAAGGCGAAATGCATTTCGTACAGTGACGGAAAGTGGATCTTGGTGCGCTTGACTGATGTGGCGATGTTACAGGGCATCAACGATTTAAAAGCAATGCCTTTCCAGAGACTTCCTTCGCTGGACTTCGCAAAAGAGGTCATTGCTTGACCTGACGTGGCCGCTGTGCAAAAGAAGGTCGTCTGCGATTCAAGTTCGGTCATTGTCAATATGTCTCAGCCTTGCGAACCCGATCGATCAGGAAAGTGGAGCAGCCCTGCTGTTGCAGGATTCAGACATGCCTCAAGTCAGGATATAAATGGCTGCACCTACAGTACAAGTAAACAGAACTTCTCATCATCATAAACATGCCACCTATGCTTCCACACAAGTCAAAAAACGCAATACGTGGCGCCCCGCCCAAGCAGCAATGGAACTTTGCATTCGGTAGCTTTCGGCCTGGTACCGGTACATCATTGTAACATTGTTACATACAGTGTTTTTAAGAGCTCATTGTTACATACATACATTGTACATTGGGTTTTTAGTTTTTAGAGCTGTTTTTAGTGGGTTGGTGTAATTCAAGGCAACTACAAGCGCATTCCATGGTAAAAGAACATGTGTTCAGTCGGTTCCAGTTTAGGCGGCAGGAGGCTGTTCGTAGTGTCAGCCGTAGCCTGTCTGGCGAGCTAGCTAGATGAACAAGGACCTCCTTTTTGCTATTAGCGCTTTCTGTATCGTTGTTTTGTTCGCAGCTTTCCGATTAATTTTGTATTCTGTATTGCTGTATCCAGGATGTCTTTAACTCTCTACTCTCCCCTGATGATAGAAAACGGATATAGGAGGCAGGAAATTTCAACAATGAGGTATCTATACGTTTACCAGTGAGCAGACTTCAATGTGGGAAACACCACTGCAACGCACCTGGGCCTTGGCTCATCATGGGAGGGTCATCCTCAAGCACTTCTGGTCTGAATCTGAGGAGTTTTTATTGTACCCGTACGTTACCGATGAATGCGGGAACCGGTGTCAATAGAGCTACGACCGGTACCGGACCCAGTCGTCCAGTCCAAGAATAAGAATAATAGAATAACTTTTTGCTTGGAACGCAAAGGTCAGTACAGTGCGTTCAGGTAGTAACCAAACAATCAACCGCGCTGGTGTACGCTGCCGGTTCCGCTCCTTTTCCTCTGGTACTCGTTCCGGTACCGATAGCAGGCTTGGTGGGCCAGCAAAAGTGCGAGGGAACAGCTCGACCGATGCATCCAGCTTTTGGGGATCGCTGCAGCGGCTGCTGCAAAGAAAGGTTCTCAGTTTCCAAGACAAGGTTTGAACACGCAGTCAGCTGTAGTCTTCAAAGCTCACGTGGTGACTTGTATTGTTAATTCCTTGTGTAGAATGGAGCAAGGACTGACGACGCTGAACCCTCACCCAAGAGAATCCAAGATAAATCCTTACTTTGCATAGATTCTGATCATCTGGGATCTTCAATAATGCTTCATCGAGTTGCTTCGCAAGAACCTTCTGACGCGTCGTCGATCAAAGAAGAGAAATGTCCAATGTCAGGAACTTCTTACCAGCAGTTACCGTTCTCATCGAGTTCAACACATTCCAAGAGCAGTCCGTTGTCCGTTGTTTGCCGAGGCAATGCATGCACCGGTACTGAGCACCTCTCAAGCAGACAAAAGCAGCATTAGGTGGTGCTGTGCCTTAGCTGGTGCTCAATGAATTAACCTTGCATAAAGCTTTCCATCGAGCCCCCGTCGGCGAAGAAGTCGGTGGTTGGTCGTCAGTTGCCTTACAAACTCACCAATGAACACCCCACCAAAAGCACCAAAAGGGCAGCAATTGTAACGATCGATGAAACTACACTAAGTCTTGTGTTCAGAATTGGGTTTTCTGTTACGGTATTCGAGCACCATTCCATCGAGTGCTGGCTGGAGTGCGGAAGCGGCCACCAAAGAGCCCGGTTTTACAACGACGGCAAGCAACTGACCAAAACTGGGTCAGTTTGGCTGACTGGCTAGCTAAACTAAAGCTGGTTGGTTGGTTTCCGCTTCCCAATGACCTGGCCAGTTTCGTCTAAAGCCGTCAGCAACCGGAAGTCAACCGCTCGCCGAAAGGCAGGTTACAACGTTGCAACAACAAGTCTTTCTTCCTCTACTACGGTAGTATCGTGGAATAGCTAGTTAGCTGCCGTTGCTCTTGGGAAGCTCTCTCTTCCTCTGTCTCTCTAACTCTCTCTCTCTCTCTCTCTCTCTCTCTCTCTCTGCCGATCTTTTGACTCGTCGGCAACTGACTACGGTGGTCAGTTACATGTATTTCTTGGTTGCTGTTCGGCCGGCAACCACTGCAACTGAAGGCTGTTGGAACTGCTTGCTTGACTACGGTACCGGTATGGCGGCAGACCGACCCTATGTCGCTTCAGAAGAAACTGCCGACAAATGTCATTGCCAAAGTAACTGGCGAGCAACGACGTATTGGCTTTGGTAGTCAGGGACTCTTCTTAAGTTACAGGATACTATAGCTAGACTCCACACTCCGCACAACTAGCACATCGAGGAGTTCTATGTGCCTGATTTGCCTTTGGAGCTATCACGAGGTACTCTGTCACGTTTGCCGCGACTTTGCAGGTACTAGTAGGGTATCTGTAGCAGTTGCTTCTAACGAGCCATATCTCCTCCGTACCACGCACCCTGTACACGAAGCAAACGGCTGGGGAAAAGCAGTGTCGCAGGGAAGTGCGGCCAAGGGTGGTAATAGTTGAAATATATTGCATGGCTGGTACTTGCTGCTCCGAGTTCAACACATGTGCCAACAACGGCACCTCTACCAAAACGGGCACCATCTCCCTTTGTCGCTCCTCCGTTCTTCAGGCCTCGCACACCAGCTCCAACGCCGTCAACTTTCCAGCGGTGCCGTCGTGAGAGGAGTTGTGCAGGAAGCGCGAGGCAAAAGAAGCAACAGGTTCTTGCCCGTCAACGAGAGCAACGTCGTCGCTGGCAACAACAGTTCACTAATATTCCTGCTCCAGTTCCTCCATCGTTCGCAAGCCTGCTGAAAATCTGACCAGAGCTCAAGTGACAATGACAACTCCTGTAGCAGCTGCTTCTTCGACAACAGCCAAGCCTCGAAGGAACCAAGAAGGGGAGGATGCTGAATCAGTCCAGATTGGTGATTCTCGCTATATGTGCTATTGAAAGTCTTTTTCATCTCAGCATGACACAACTCAACAAACATCTCTATAAGAAGATGTCTTTCTACAAGTAGTAAACGCACTGGCCAGCCAGCCATGGATAGTCCATGTTACCGAGTGGTTGAAGGGAACCTTTTGGTTTTTAGAATGGTGAAGAACCAAACCATTGATTCTTTTATTCCTTCTTAGGAACGTACCGCTGAAATCCACGTGTGTGTAGCTTCTTAATACCACGAATCCTCATCGGAATCCTCATCGGAACCATCCGAGTCGCCACAATTGTCTTCCATAATCCCCTGCAAGTTGGTACGAAAGGTGGCTCGATGGTTGAGTTTGAGTTTGTGGGACATGTGGGATGCCATCATGGATGTCCCATGTGTTGCTGGGAACCATCGTTGGGCCCCCTTTGGTCGCTCCCAGTAGTCTTTGCAAAACTCATTGCACGCATGGTTGCTAAAGAAGGAGTCAATGCCTTTCTCTCCCAGATCGGTGGGTCCGTAGTTGCATAGTCTGGAACAAATAGCAGGATCGCTCAGTTCAAAGCGAGACTTGGTCTTGGAATTCCGTTTGGGTCGATAACGGCCTTGCAAATCGCAGACAATCATTTGTCCTCCCGACTTGTCATAAGTAAAATGAGAGAACGCCTCCATGGCCCGTACTTTCGCTTCATCGGAATCATCAATCCATCCCGAGTTGGAGGTGAACTTGGTGTAACGACGAATCAGTGGTTCTACCAAATATCGAAGGCCACTGCACGAGGAATGAATGGTTCCCTTGTTGACCATTATCTCCTTGCCAACGGGACACAGATCGTTCCAACTCTCGGCGAATTCAATCGTCTTGTCTACAATTTGAAAGTCCATGGCAAAGAATTCATCTTCCAATTCACGAAACTCGGACTTGAAACGCTTGCAGGCGGCTTCCTGTTGGTTCCGATTGCCGCCTATAAAAGTGCCTTCTAGGCAAACGCGAAAGGTGCCTTCTCCCAATTCACAGTTCGATATCCGAACATCGTTGGATATCCGAACATCGTTGGACGTCAGATTGGTGCGAGCAGCGCTGGGCATGTTGACGATGAATTACCTACTCAAAAGACAACCGCAGCACCGTAACTTGTTGTGGCGACCTAAAGGCACGACCCCCGTTTCTGCAGCAAATTGGCCTTGGGAAAGATGTGCGGTGGCAAAGACAAGTCGTGAGGACTTCATTCCCTAATGGCTAAAACTGGGAAGGCAGGCAATACGGTAGAACTCAGAGGGGTAGCATTGTCTGAACACACGCGGTGAAAAGAAGAGGGTGGGTATTAGTCACAGACATACACAGTAGTGGTGGAAGCTTGCGGAAGGCGCACAATAGCTTGATAGCTCGACAATGAGACAGTGAGGCATACTGTACTCACCCAATAGATTAGATGCTCTACCGTCACACAAAGAGTTCAAAAACCATAGTACAAGTAGGATAGCGTTGCATCAGTTTTCGTTGAGAGGGGTTTGTCACCCCTGGTTTTCGGACTGGGGTGCCAAATTTGAAAGAGCGTGTCCTTGATTCTGCGGGCATGGACATTTCATTGAATTCAATGCGAGCAACAATGAACCCTTGTCGCGTTCGCAGAGCCTGGGAAGTTTGGCTCTGTCAACGAGCAAGTTGCCGGAGCTTCGGATGGTTCTAGCTATCATAGTGCGGAAACAGCCAATCGGGGCTTTTTTGCAGCTCGTCAAGTCGCTCACGCTGTCTTGTTTTCCAGAAGTTTGCCCAAAACAACTTTGCTGAAATCGGGATTCTTGGGCAAAAACAAAACGGGCACATTCGAGCAGGATTTGGCAGATCCGTTTCGGACATAGAACACCACATCCCGCCGGACAGTACAGTATTTATCATTCGTATGCTCAACATGAGCCTGAATCCTGCCCTTCGCATGGTCTGCCAGGGAGTTGTATCCCTCACTGGTATGGCTCTCACTGTTTTATTAATGGCGCTCTCTGGTCTTTCTCTCCTGCCTCCAACATGAACTCCCTTTGGAATTTCCACCACCGCCAGCAATGTCTTGGGGCTCAAGAGTGATATCGAAGGAAGCCTAATCGCCATGGGAGCCGTGACTGGATGTTTTATATTTGGAAACAACAATAAACAGTGGGGGGCTTCTATCATCATGTTTTCGGCATCCGTGTGTATCGCCCGAGCGATCAGCAAGGTCGTCGATGGGTATGATCACGTGGCCATGGTTGGGGGTGTCGTCGAAGTTCTCTTTCCCGTCGCAACGTGGGCTTTCATGAAAGACGACGAAGCTGATCAGAGCACTGACAAGAGAAAGAATCTGCAAGAAGATGTCATTATACATACAAGTGCAAGTAGTAACGGAACTGGCCAGCCAATGGATAAGGTAATCCTTAGTGCCGAGTGGGTGAACTGCACTTTTGGGCTTTAGAGTGCTGGTGAAAAACAAACCATGTTATCTCTCTAGCCAGCTAGTAGATGCTTCTATTCATTCTGAACGCGGATGCCGGATTGCCAAAAGAATCGATTGAGGTTCATCTTTAGGCTTGCTTGAGCATCCAGCCAATGAGTCGCGTTGACAAGTGCTGGGACCGACTGATGATGTTCCAAAGTCGAATATCTCTACCGTATTCGCTGTTTTCGGGAGTTTTTTCAGCCCAGTGGACCCCAGAAAGGTTGCAAGATTGTATTTTTAAATAGATAGTATGTTGCTACTGTTTATCATGTATCTCTGGGTCCATGGAAGTCGCTGTCAGCTGCATGCAAATAGTACTAGTAGGTCACTTTCTTCTCCTTCCTCCACCAATCTCCATGGCACTGCCCCACACAGGGTGACGTGCTGCAGCGCTCTTGGCATGTGCCACTGCCATTCGATTGGTGAAAATCATTCGACCCGCAAACTCTTCGGCGACTTCCTCTACGCTGGGATCCCCGTACGCGGGTGGGACTTCAGAGGCACTGGGGATTCTTCCAAAAATGCCCATCTTGTATCCAGCAACCCATAGTCGCGCCGCTTCCTTCAACATGTCATCGGGCAACTCATCTCCCACGGGGTCCAGTGTAATTGCATTGACATAAACTTGGGTGGCAGCAATCTGTGCGGCACGATCCTGCCGCCAAGCGGGATGATCCGATGGCAAACCAACCAACAAGTCGACACGGATCATATCTTTGTGTTGACCCAAACCTTCTGCAAGCGTCAGAATCTGAGCCCAATTGACCCATTCCGGTAGGCGGTCATAGAACACTGGCTTTGGTTTCTTTGCTTCGGGCATTGGCTTGCCTTTGCTCTCTTTACTTTTCACTTTCTTTTTTGGGTCATCCAATGGGAACTCATCATCGTCACCGAGCGCGGGTTGATGCTCTTGTTTATTATGCGATGAAACCACAGTCCCATTGCGGTAGACCCTCCCAATCAGCGAATTGTCGTCGGCTCCTTGGCTCCAGCTAGCCACAAAGACACGTCCCCACAGGACGTAGACCTTGAAGTCCATGGGTGGTAGGTTGTTGTGCATGATAACATCCGTACGTGAATCATCAATGATGGAGACGATCCGTTCCTCGACAATGTAACCTGGTTGAACTTGTTGGCGAGCCCAATTCTTGGGGTTGCGCTTTTCATGATGCAAATGGTTTGCCAATTGCTCCGCCACGGCCCGTTCACTGTCATCAATAGCAGAACCGTGAGCTTCCATGTGAGATTGGGTCTTGGCATTCTTGTTCCTGTTCTTGCCTCGCATTTGGTTTTTCTTTTCTGCCTGCTGAGGACTGTGTTTGGTGTTGACAGAAATGTCTTTCTTCGTTTGCACCAACCAAACTCCCTTTCCTGATTCATCTGGGGCTGTATGAGACGGCTTGGCCACGTAGTCACGACCTTTGGGCAAATGCTGCTGAATCCACGACTTTTTGTTTTCATCCTTCGCTATATCATGATCACGGTACACCAACTGGTATGGCTGAGGAACGGGGATATCCCCAAATGCCATGAGCCATCGTTTCTGGGCAATCTTGTCGTAGTAAAATGCGAGACCGGGATGCTGCAATCGTTTTCGGAATTCCAACAGCGTCGTCCAATCTTCATCACCCTGTAAGTGACCGCCCGTGGTCAAGGCAAAATCATGGTACAGCCGGAAATAGTCCGTCAGGAGAATGGTGGCTGGGACATTACCGTGATCTTGTTCCAATCCATAGTGAGCCAAGTTGATGCCATGGACACGAAAGCTGTCCAGAGTAAACGGCGTGCGCTGAAGCGGTTTGGGTTTGTCATACTTGGCGGCCAAAACTTTGGGTTGGGGATCTGGTGTCAAGAGCGCCCTGTTGGGTTGTCGCTCAGGGGAATAGAACCCACCAAAGAGGAAGAGCCCCGACACACCGAGCAACAGGACGTATACAAACGGTTGGAATGACGACGGCATTGTCTCTTTGCTTCTTGTCTCGAACTCAACCAAACATTTTTTGACTGGCTTGTCTTTGGGTGATGTTGTCTTTTCTGACCAGGTGCTGATCGAACTGGATGATGCACGAAGATCCGAGCGAAGTACTTTCATTACCTTTTCTCGGGCGCGGGAGTGGGATCGGAACATCTGGCAAAGATACAGCCGTTAGTCTACGGGTGTGTTTAGCTCTACATGTACATGTACTGGCAACGTGCACCGTACAAGCCGCCGGTACAGCGGTCGTACGCTGTACCGATAGTGCAGGTCATTCGATTGCAGTATTCGATTGAATCGAATCATTCGGTTTGATTCGACTGAGTCGAGTCGCACTCGATTGACCCTCATCAGCTCCCTCATCGAGGGAAAGATTGAACGAAGTTCCAAATCCACAACGACGGTGCACCCCTTCAGATTTCAGATGGGAGCCAACAGCTGAGCCAACACAAAGGCGCAAAACGCTCTTTGCTGCTTCGCTTCTTTTGTTGCGACATTGCGAAGAGAGCATCGTTGTTAACAATTGAATCATCGTGAAGTGCTTCCAAGATCTTAAACAAAGTTAGCTATGAAAGGTTGTCGCCTCACGTCTACAATGTCATATGTCATGTACAAACGGCAGAGATGAACGGATCAGTGGAGGTTCGCTTGGGGCTTGAACGCTTGAACATTGAATGTTTTAGCGACCGAAAAGACTTAGTCTCAAGAGAAAGAAGCCCGGCCTCTATTAATATATAGCAAAGAAGCCTGAAAGCCTGAATCAAGATTGAAAGCCGACACCACAAGACATGGAAGACTGTGTTGGTGTCGCGCCAAGCGCTAAGAGCGGACATCAGATTGGATGTTTCGGTGTGCCGTTGGGCCTGCTAGTAGGAATGCCAAGATGACGGACTGGTTGGATCACCAATGATTGCATCCGACCCAACAACCACCCAGTCGACCATCAAAACGGAACCTGACTTGGCGCTTTGTTAGATTGATCCATGACATGGACGCATTGATACTACTTTTAAACTTACTTGTAGCCAGGCAGTAGTGAGCATGTCCCTTCTGCTACCGGTACTAGCTAGTAGGCGCCCGTAGCTCTTGGGCATGTACTCCTTTTTAAATAGTAACATCATTTTAGGGGTAGTAATACATGTAATTCTAGTAGCTTATGTTGGAGCACAAGAAGAAGCAATGTTGCCCTCTGATTGCTGGATTCTCGTAGCGTGTCTCTGTCGCTCGCATTGCGGTTTTAATAGCACCCCCAAGAGGACTCTGGGGACAGGATACCGGCCAGTCGCATCTCCATCTCTTCCATTTCTTTCCATTGTGCAATCTCCACTTGGAGGACTTCATCATCTTCCAAATCCGATGGATGCAGTGCTTTACGCGTCAGAGGACAAGTGGCATTGCCATGAACGAACAGCCACTCCAGAATTATACCCTTTTCAAAGTGGTGACCTGTTTTCTTGTTTCGGACAGGATTCTCCATGACTTGCAGAGTCAGTGGACAATAAAAGTGGCTGGGAGCACTGGAACTCAGAATTTCATCCTTGTCGTCTTCGTCCATGGCAGCGAGAGCTGTCTTGGGGTTTCTTGTTCTTCTGGGATTGGACTTGAAGCCAGGGCTAACTTGCTTGGAAGGAGTTTGTTGGTGCAAAGGAGTGATCGTAGTAGTCAACATGGTTGGTGTTTCTTTGTTTCTTCTGTAGTATTTGTGCGGGGTAGTATTTGTTTTCAGAATCCTTGAAATTGTGAGAGATGGGATGAACAAAACTAATTTCTAATTTTCACTGGCCAAAAGGCACTCGTATCGTACCACTTGGGCAAAGCAACCTCAAAGAAGCCTGGTGCAAACTCGGCTGGATAAGACAACCTACTAGAGCTAGAGTACATACTCGAGTACGTACCACAACCCAGGCAGCAAATTCGTGTCCACAGTGCGAACTGTACGAGTACTATTTTTAAAAATAGTACTATTAATAGTACCGGTACCACTTCCTGCATAAACATGCAGCATCGAAACACACTTTCAACAGCTCTTCAACTTGATGGAGAACCCTTCACATGTACTTGCTTGAATCCGTCAGCTGTAATGCGGCTTTGGGAGCTTGCCAGCCGCAGTACCTGTGGGAGATGACGCATACCAGTACGCACCAGTTATCAGTAACTGTTCTGATCAGCCCCTCGCATCGCCATCATCATCTATGCATATGTGCCACTGGCAAGAATAAAGTCCTCCTGCCTCCTGGACAGCTTGACTGCGAATGGGGCGATCCAAAGTCCTGAGCGGTGCTGGCAACACAACACTGAAAACAGCATGCAGCAACGACAACTCCTCAACTCGAGCACTCGAGCTAGTCAGCGAGTAGCTAGCTACCGGTACTAGAGTAGTCTACTTCAACTCGTCATCTGCTCGCCGGCTACTCGGAGCTCGGATTTCCAAGAGTGGTCAAGTTAGAGTTGGAGATTTCAATTGTTGACAATAATTCTAATCCTAGACTACTATGTACTATGCATGCTATCCTTTGTCCTCCTTTGAGCTTCCCAGAAGCTCACATCTAAACTGTCCGAGCACTTCTTAAATCCCAAGACATCTATCTGTGCAATGTTTCTAAAAAGGGGCTCCACCTTAAATCATTCACTATAATTATGCTTTTTTTGTGTGCCAAAGTCATACGCTCAGTCACAAGCAACCCGATCTATTACTTGTGACAATAAGCACAATGTCATCATCGGAAAGGCGGAACACTCAACAGTAATTATGCAGATCTAGAAGGTTGACTATTAATTAATGCCAAGTCTTGGAGTAGTCTAAAGGTCTAAAAGACTTCGTTGGATTGTGCTCTTGCGACCAACCCCTTCCAAACTTTCAGACACACATTGCCGTTGCCGGCACTAGCTAGAGGTGGCTAGTACCGGTACCGGTACTGTACACTGTACACACGTTGTACAGTGTTACTGGAGTACTGCCAGCGGCAGCATCGTCACGGTCCAATCATTACTGGGTAGTGCCCCGGTACCGGTACCGATACCGGTACATCACTCCTCCCTTGATATTAAGATGTCTCTAAGTTCTCCTGAACCCTGAAGCCATCTTAGCAAGCAAGCGTACAGAATCTTCTTATCATTTTGTTTAAATTCAGGGTGCAAAGGCAACATCTTAGCTTTCTTGCCATCTCTATTGACCATACTAGTAGTATGGTACATACCAACATTTCTACTCTGCTTCCCATCTTATTTTAAAAACATACCCTTATGTGAAGAGAGGAAAGAACAGTGTTTCGTCTGCCGGAGGCGAAATTTTTGACTTTTGGCACCTGTTTTCAAGGCATTTTGTTGTAGAAAATTGTCATTGTATCATCTGTCAATCTCTTATATGCCCAACCAAGGGAGAGTGCTTGCTGGGTATCTTAGCTCTTGCTGGGTATCTTAGCTCTAGCTAGTGCAGATCTGAGTGTCTCAAATATCTTCACATTCTAGCAAATCTCAGTACTCGACATCTTATCTCGGACTCTCTTAATATCAAGGGAGGAGTTTACCCCCAACAGATAAGATCAACGAAGAAGATCCCAACGGCGATTGGGTAATGAGTTGCTTTTGAGTTGGCGGAAGGCTGACCCTTCCGTGCTGGCGGGGTTGTGTCAGATCCTGCCTCATATCACTCCAATCCGTTCCAGGAAGAATCCAAATCTTCCACTTCAGCTCTCACAATTCGAAATCAGCAAGTTTGCAACAGTCAGCCTCACTCAGCTTTTCTTTACCTTTACCTTCACCATGAGCCAACACGGAAGTCCAGATGCCCCTTGTCGCTTTGTCTGCCCCCTTACACTTGATGTGATGGAGAATCCCGTCACTCACAAGGAGACTGGGAAAACGTTTGAGAAGGAAGCCATCCTTGAATGGGTGTATCGCCATGGAAATGCCACCTGCCCATTGACAAGGAAGCCATTGCACCCTGCCGACCTTCAAGATGATGATATGCTTCAGTTTGAAATTTCTCAATGGAAGGAAATATCTGCCATGGAAGCAAGATTGGAGAGCATTCTCTACTAGTGGGAATCGCAAAGACAAGAGACATGAACATTGACTCAAACCAAGCCAAGCCAAACCAAGCCAAATTTTACAAGTGGTCCCGCGTGAAAATCACAAGGGAAAAGATTGCGTTTACAACGCAACAGGAACAGGTCTGCCTCTCGAATCGGAGAAGGGCGTCAGCCCACCCAAAGAGTGACCATATCTACTACAAATTGAAAACAAGCGGAGTAATCAGGCCTGAATGGCCGTAATAGTTAAAAAGCTACAGAATAAACAATGAAACTTCTAGCACACATTCCTTATACTTCAAAACTGCTTTTATCATGTTGTCTAGTACTTCATAACAGCTTGGAAGGAAAACCTGAAGGCTTTCGGAACGCCTACGCTGCATGCACACAGCTGCCCTGCCTTAAAATTATCGGTACGCCTTGCGAACATGCAGTTCGAGTCATTTTTTGTGTGCGACACATTAAAATTTTCGATCTGCTGCCAAGGCCGCAATGACTAATGCTTGAGTTTGCATCCTGCTCCCGCGATTGTTGGAGGGAGCAATCAGCTGGGCTTGTCTGATGGCGGATCTGTCTGCAGAGGCGCTGCTGAGTACGGTTCCTCGACAACCACTCAAGTTAGCGCTTTCAGTTTGATATTTAGTTTATGTTTTGCTTTTGATTTGCTTGTGATATCTTTACCCTTCGGGTATGGTACTAGGCCCCCGCGCCAGCTCTTCATGGCTGGCCAATTTTTGGTTCTTTCCCTACTGTCTTGCTTTTGCTGTCGCCATGCAATCTCTCCGATTCTTGCGTCGTTTACGGTTCTTGCACACTGTAAGAGCGTCTGGAGAGCCTTGCTTTGTTGTGGACTTCTGTCTTTACTGTGCTTCAAAGGTTCGGTTGACTGACATGCCTTGCTTAGAACAGAATATCTGCCAACTTGGCTTCCATGGCAGCTACTTCCTTCCATTGAGAAATCTCGTATTGAAGTACGTCATCCTCTTGAAGGTCAGAAGGATGCAATGGCTTCCTGGTCAAAGGGCAGGTGGCATGTCCATGCAAATAGACCCATTCAAGGATGGCTTTCTTTTCATAGGTTTTCCCAGTCTCCTTGTTTGTCACAGGATTTTCCATCACATCAAGAGTGAGAGGGCACACAAAGCGACGGGGGGCACTTGGACTTCCGTGTTGGCTCATGGTGGTTTTTTGTTTGATGTGGTTATCTGTTGCGCAGAGAGTTTTGTTTGTTGGTTTTGGAATTGTGGGAGGACTATCTTGGGAGCTATCTTGGGTCCGAGAGTCGAGCGAAACTCGGAGCACGATCACTGTCACGGGAAAAGATATCACTCCCACTCACTTGTTTGCTCTTGAGGAAGGCACTGTTGCTGGTTTGCTTTCACATCTCTTTTCGCCTGTGACCACCGAAAACTGCCTACCGGTAGCTACGGTATTGCCTTTACTGGTACCGGAGAGTTGTTTGGGGTTCCAAGCACTCACTGCCCCTAACAGTAGCCCCACAGAAAAGAAGGGGTTTGGAGGCTGGGTCTTCCAGAGCCGTTTTGCCACGCATCTTTCCCCTTGAAGAACCCCATCAAGTGCTAGGTTAATCACCTTGTTAAATAATGTTTTGTCAAGAAGAGGCTTTATTGAAGTTGGTCAGTAATTATGATCTAATTATGCCAGTTGCTTCATCTCTATGACTTAATAGATCGTCAGAAATGCAACCTATGGTAGTTACTATTAATAGTACTAGTAGTAGGATTCAATCACTGGCAGAGTATTAGTACTGGTCCTCTTCTGGCTCCGACTGTCATCAGCTCTGCCATCGTACCACAAGTTAGACTGGCTTCTGCATGCCGCAATTATAGAGAGGTACTGGCAGCTGTTGCCACAGAAAATGTGAAAACTGGGTTGCAGAGTTTTTCGATTAAACCGCTTCTGGCTGCATGCGGAGGCTGTTGGAGCTGTTGACCAAAGATTATGTTGCAAGCATGCATGGATTCCCACTGTGACCCATCACTAGCTAGGATCCCGTTGCTACTAGATTGGGGCACCATCGCCGGTAAGAGAAAAGTACATTCCCACAGCTATTCCCACCCACTTGTTTGCAGTTCAGGAAGGCACCTTGGTGGTTATTACTACTTTGATCCTGACCACTGAAAACTGCCTTTGGCCCACACTGGTACCCTTGCTATTTCTGACTGCACCAACAGAAAAGAAGGGCTCCAAGACGCTGGGTCTTAGTTAGAGCCGTTTTCTGGAACCTTTTTGGGGCTGAAGAACCCAGCAAGTGCCAGCCATATCGTTTCTATTAAACAACGAGTTGTCGAAAAGAGGCTCCATTCAATTAATGTCAGTCATTGAGCCAGTTGCTGCATCGCTGCATCTCCAAGCTTTATGAAGCAAATTCCAAGATTTATTGCTACGCAGACTACCTGAAATTGAGGAGAAGAGTCTTCAGTGTTCAGAACTAATGCTCCTCATTAACGTTGCATAGCAGCCGTACCACAAACCACGAACAGATTTTTTTGTTTCAATTTAATTCGAGTCCGTCTGGTTGGTTGGCTCGCGAGTGCTGCCAGACGCGAACTCCGCACTCTCGGGAAGGCTGCAGATGCAGATTGACCTTGCTTGGTTGGTTAACTTCCTCCGGAATTGACAAGGTTGTATAACATGGGATGCCGAAGCAGATCCCATCCATGACCTTGCTTGGATGACATTGTGTAAACTGGGTTGCTCTTTGAGTTTTCCGATCAAACCGCTTCTGCATGCCAAGTGCCAAGGCTGTTGGAGTTGACACCAAGGGGCGGTGTTGCAATCATGCATGGATTCGATTCCCACTGTGACCCATCACCGGACGGCTGTATTGGCCGCTTGAGAAGCGTACTGGTAACATCTAGGTGCCCGTTGCGTCCAGCCAGCCAGCGAACGGTTTCATCTGTGACTCCTAGCTATCAGATGGATCCGACACAACCTTCCACTGGCTGCTGATCAGATCGCTTGGGAGGGAGGTGGATCGTCGTTCAGCAGCGATCTTTTACCTCCTTCGTTTTGGCAACAACTTTTACCACCTCAAATAGTTCTATAAATGATTGATTGCCTTGGTGGTTTGGTAGCTTGTTTGCCAATCGTCGCCGGAGCTTGCAGTAGTATCTTTTGACGGGTTTTTCTGAAATTGAACCTCTGCATTCTCCCTGTATTTTATATTCCTTGCGGGCGGAAGAGATCTTTCCTTATTGCACTAGTTGGTGGGCAGTACTTTCCCTTGCTAGTACAGTGCTTTCGTTCCCCTGAAAATTGAGGACATCCTCGCTTCTACCAAACCCAAAACCCATGAACGATACTGCAATATTCATGACAAGAGGGATGTCAAGATAGGTCCTGACACCAAGATAGGTCCCATGTAAGGGACATAGTCATACCGGGGCGAGTGGCCCTGTAGATAACCAGCATAAAGAGCATAATTTACACAAACAAAACCAAAGCAGACTACTAGATCTAGCATGGGGCAGAAACGGCTGCTTGCTGAATGGGTGCTTCGGTAGAGGAGGGTTTTCGTTTCTTGTCTCTGTCTTTGGTACACTAATAATAATGTTACATGAAGCCTATTAGATTCAGTTGGAATTCGGCTGGCAGGGCTGGAAACGGCCGGCCTTCACAGTTGCTGCAACTTGCTTGTGGGACAAAGCCCTGGACAGCAATGGCTTGACGTCCAGTCTGGCCTGCTATCGCCTGGAGCTTGCAATAATTTGTTCCAGCCTCATCTCCATTTCTTCCACATCTTTCCACTGATCAATCATGTACTTGAGCACATCGTTATCTTCCAAATCAGAGGGACGCAAAGGTTGTCTGGTCAATGGACAAGTAGTTTTTTGGTGGACAAACATCCATTCAAATATGGCTCCCTTCTCAAAGGTATTCCCTGTTTCCTTGTGTGTAACTGGATGTTCCATAACCTCCAATGTTAGTGGGCAGAGGAAGTGGTCTGGTGTTGAGCTCATGCTGCTGTTGCTGTTGTTCATGATGCTGTTCATGCTGCTGTTCATTTTGGTAGTGGTGTTTTTTGCTTTTTGCTTTCAGAAATTGTGAAGCCAGAACTGAAGTATCGTAAAAAGTGAAGGTGCTGCAGCACCAGTCAGTCAAGAGTGCTGATAAGACGCTGGGACGTTATGACGCTGACATGCTTGGATATTGGATGGGGTTCCCCGTAAGGCGGAGTGCTTTACCTTGCGTAGCCAACACCGATACCGGTAGGTAGTTGGCATGTTCTTGGTACCGGTATGCAAAAAGGTCATCGAGTGGTACCCTGGAACTTTTGTGATGAAGACAGGATACGGACTGGGTCAAGACTATATCCTTTTCTTGGCAGAAGTATAAAAATGGAGTATTAATAGTGGTATTAGATCTGACCTCGGCAGGAAAACAGCTCATGAGAGTGTTGAAGCATCAGAACAGCTGACTAATGACCCATCCCCGTTCCAAAAAATTGTGCATGCCAGTTATTAACACGTGTTAAAAGCCACCCACGTACATGTACCAGTGTAACGAGGACCAGTATGCAAGAACGAGCTTCAGTAATCTCGTCTTGAAAACAGCTCAAGCCCCCAGCATGCAGAAGGGAGGAAGTAGGCTGCCACTCGGATGTCTCAGTTGTCTGAGACCTATTGTTGGTCGAAAAAGTCCAACAACTTGCCAGCCAGTACACTACATGCATGTGCCATACCGGTACCTGGCCCACACCACCTAGCTAGCTAGACAAGCTAAAACCGGTCTCAGCCAGACGAAACCACACACTCAACAGAAGAAGCTCTTCATGCATAGGCCTACGCTGCCAGACATGCATGTTGTTGACTCGGCAAGAGTGAGCGAGAGCAAACGTTTCTCACACCCAAGAGGCAAAGCTATCTTTTAAGACGAAACGCGAGCGTCCACCCTCATGTTTTCTCACGGCTTCTTCGAGGTTTGTCCACTGCTTTGCTTGCCGATTGTACTGGTATGGGAGATGTAGCGCTTACACCGTATGCACAAACCTCGTAGCAATGAAGATGCGCCTAGCTAGATCACATGCGAAGCACCTCGCTCGCCTCTCAGACGCCGCCTTCACGGGTCGTCACGGCTTCTAAAATGCAATGGGACAGCATATACTCGTTGGTCCTGGTCATTGTGCAGTGCAGTGCAGTGCAGTCGTAGCTTACAGCGGGGCTGGCTTGTGTCAATAGCAGGACTTCCATCGTTTGCAGTCGTCAACCCTGACTTGGTTTCAGTTCAAATGAACCGGTAGGAGCAAGCCAAGAGAAGCGTTGGACAGTCCGTAGCAGTGCCTTTGTGGATGCTGGAGTTGCTGCGTACGAATGGTGCGTCTCACTCACTGGTTGCTGCCCATCCTCCGCCCTGTTTTGGTGGCATGAAGCAGTGGCTTGGGCTGTGAACGCGCCGGTACATTTCGACTCCACTTTGGGTCAAACGATTTGCTTCCGAGCCATGCCAGCACCACATCTTGACTATCCCACCGTACCTGATTGAGTTCCAGATGAACATTGTGAGACAAGTTCCCCCCTTGGCAGCACTGCTCACACAACTCTTTCAAGAGTTCGAGGCGACTCTTGTGCACACTGTCCCGGGTCTGCCATTGACTGTCCGACCCATCCTTGTCGTCATCGTCATCATGCCAAACCAAGAGACGGTTGATTGCTTTGGCCATAATGGCAAAAATCACATGGTTGCGTTTGTCATTGGGCAAGTCGGCAAAGACCTGTAGCGCCGTCGTCAATGCTCGTTTCCGCTCGGCGCGGTCGACATGGGCACACGCCTGGATAAATGCCGTCCGACAAATGACATCGGGCGCTGCTTGGACTGCTATTTCCTTCCATACACGCTCGGCTTGTTCCAAACGGTCGGGTTGTCGGCTCTTGGCATGAGCAATCAGCAGACTGGTGTATGTCACTTGGTCGGGATGAATGTGTCGTTGTTGTTTCATGTGCTCGAGTAGAGCCTCCGCTTGGATGGCGTCTCCTTGTTTGGCCAGTGCTCCCATGACATTATTGTAGGACACGAGATCCGGTGCTGCGCCCACGGGACGCACCCAATTGGCATGCAAGTGTTTTTCTCCATTTTGCATCCACTGCAACAACGCCACGGCCTGTGTAACCTGCCCCAATTTCCCATGCGCATCCAACAATATATTGTAACTCTGCAAATCGGGCAAACACTCGGTACGTCCCGTTTGTTGATAAAGTTGTTGCATGGTGGCCATGACTTGTAGAATAAAATCGGGTCGTCTTTCTTTGGCCCATGCCACCATGACGGCATTGCCGGCCACAATGGTGGGCAGGAATGAATCATCCTCTTGCTTGTCATTGTCATGTTGTTGCTGCTGATGTTGTTGATGTTGCTGCTGAAACAAGTCAAGCAATCGTTGAAAGGTATCGTGTGCCTTTTGGGCCTGTTTGGCACGTGCCCACGCCGTGATTACCGCCGTGAAACTAACAGCATTGGGTTTGACACTTCCATTGGCATGAGTATAGTAAGAGTTGACCATGGCGTTCAGGATTCGTTGGGCCCGATGGGCCGCATTGCCTCGTTGTTCGACCAGTTCGACCCGCGCCCAAGCATCCAATACAATGGAATAGGTCCGTACCGTAGGCTGTACATTGTTCCATTCGGCAGAATGTTGGAGTATGGATTGCAAGACGCCTTCGGCAAATTCGGCCGCTTGTCGGGGTGTCATAGTGTCGTTGCTTCCTTGCTGTTGTCTACTAACCCTTTTGACGGGTGCTGCCTTTACGACCGTGTCCATGGCAACATGAAACATGGAAATATCTAAAGGAATAATTGGGCGTTGTTGTTGGAGTGTAGTAGTATTGCCCTTATCCTCATCTGAGTTTTGGCTGTCATTTTCTTCTTCAGCAGCAGGCGACCGCCACGGTTTCAAGGTTTCTTCTAGTAGTTCCAAAACTCGTTGGGATCGTTTGGCATGTCCCGATTTATTCCAGGCATCCATGACGGTGACAATGGTTCTCTCATTTGGTTGCGAAGATGGCGACATGGTGGATAGAATTTGATCGGCATGAAATCCCGCTTCACTGGCTTTACTCTTGGACCAGGCATTGAGGACTATATTGTACGTTTTGGTCGTTGGATAGACATGTGGCGATTGCTGCTCGAGAAACTGCAGAATCCTGTGCGCTCGTTCGGCAGCTGTCACGCCTCCGTCGCACACGGCATATGCCTGCAAGACCACTTCGAAAAAGGACCGCGTGGGAGCCAAGACGCCACTATGTGTCAACATTTGTTCGAGCAATTCTTCGGCCCGCATGGCGGCTTGTAACGACTTGGAGGTCATGGCGTGTTCCATCCAGGCTTCCAGGACATGGAAGTAGTCATCCAAACGTACAATCGCTCGTGTTGTGGATGATCTATCATCGTGTTGTTGCTGTTGCTGCAAATGGGCACAAAGCCTCTTGGTTTCTTCCATCAACTTTGGCTCGGAGACACCCGACCAGGGATTCTTGTCTCCATGGCGGATGGCACCATCCAAAACGGATGTGTCAGTGTCGGACTTGTCGCTGCTGCTTGTACTGCTGCTAAACCAGCGACTGTCACTCGCATCACGCACTACGGACCGTGCGTTCCTTGACGAACTGTACCGGTAGTAGTTGTGGCTTTGTACTGGTTGTGTGGCAGAGTAGGGATGGACACAACTGGTGCTGCTAATGGCTCTCAGCGGTCTTACACGTCCTCCATGTCTCACCACCGTCAAGGCACGAGGGATGCGGCTGCTGATGCCTTTCATTGCAGTCAACACGAACAAACAGCAGCACTATGAACAGGCAGGCAGTCAATCAATCAATCCATTGGCCCGAGGATCGAGTGACGGGTGATAGATGGGGAGCCCAAGAAAAATAAATGAAGGGTCGTCAGTCCTTCAAAACGTCAGAAAAACCAACTTTTCGAAAGAGTGACCAGTCAACAAGCAGCTCTGCAGGTTGTTTATTTCTCGAGTTTTCTTTCCTCACTTTTTCGCTCGCTTTCCTGCCTCGTATCAATAGCTCTCATCTCCTTTAGAAGAGAACCGCAAAGGCTCACCGTAGATGGAATGTCCCACAAATAAATAAATTCACGTCAAACTTCGTTGTGGTTGCCGTATTACGTCAAAGCAAATATGAATGTCTGCCGTCATTTTATTATACAGTAGAGTGATTGGATCATTCTGATCTTCATCCTCTGTATTGGGTATAACCATCACGCTCTGATTCACATTCGGTTCAATCGACGCATTCCATCTCCTGACAAAACTACCGGTGCCGTACAAGAGCGAGTGACGACTCGACTCTGATTAATCAAATCAAAATAATGACAGTCTACACTCCCTTCAAGTTGTGTTGCATCCTATCAGGGATCGTTCTGCTTTACGTATGTGCTACCAGTAGCAACCACAACGTGCTAATATTACTTCCCGTCGTGATACCATCATCGTCTTTATCATCCAAGAAGAAGACGGCCTTCTTGTTGCTCCAAGACTTTCGAATGTGTCGTATTCGACCCGAGCCGGTGATCGGCGAACCGTGGGTGGAAATGGCAACCATGGCACGACATGGACTTCCACCCGTCGACTATCAGTGTTCTGGCAAGCCCTATCATCAGTTTGCGGGGCTCTTGGAAGACCTCATTCTAACCGAGTCGTCGTCCTCATTGTCCCTGTGGGGCAAACGAGACACTTTGGTTCCCTTGTCGAACAACAACTCTACTACCAATAACGGACGGACCATTTTGTTCATGGGCAACAGTCATACACGACAAACCGTCCAAGCACTCTTGTGTCAGTACCAGGACCAAATTGTATCCTACCAAACACTCTCCGAACCAGGCGCCTTTGTGGTGGAGATGCAGCACAATTTGACTATCTACGCGGCGTGCAACAGTCCCTTTGTCGCATCCAAATCATGGTACAAAACGTTGGAACAACGAATCGTAAAACGTCCTTTGGCAACCGGTGTGGATGCCATTGTCTTGGGACATTTCAATACGGCACAAGAATCCGTCAAAACAAACTATGGACAAATGATGATGCAACAACACTATAATAACAATACTGGTGCCAATTTTCCCAAGGCACCCACCATGGACACTGTGGCGGCCATGTACACGGGTCCTGTGATTTGGGTGGGAATGTATGCCCAGCGCAATCTACCGTTTCATCAGCAAGCCGTAGACTACACTCTGCGAAATCATCATTTGTCACGGTCCAACCTGCGTGCTGTCTACGCCCGACGGTACATTGACAAACTAATAGCAGCACAACTACACGAACATGAACAAGCCAACAACAAGAAGAAACTGGCAGTGGAGGAATGCAGCATTGATGGCCGCACCGCTGTGGGGACCTGTGATACCGATCCAACGGGAACGCGATTTCGAGATGGGCATCGGTGTACGGGATCTCGGGGAGGGCATCCGGATTTGATTGCATGGGATGTCGTGGAAGCCTTGCATAATGTCCTTTCATAGCTGCAAGAGAATGGGGGAAAACGCGCAAAGCTAGCTAGCTAGATGTCTAGAGTGGAGATTGAACTGGCCTAAGAAGCAACGGTTCTTGCTTCAGTGCAAAACGTCGTGCCGGCAGTGGCAAAAGGAGACAATCACGGGGGACACGCTTACGCCGCTCCTGTCAAGGTGATAACCACCACATTCATTTAGCTAGGCTGGCATCCGATATATTCGTCGTTGTCAACCTGCACAGCCAAGATTTGATGCTCGAGAGTCCATTGAGAGCACTTCATTGGTGGTACGGTACCATAGCTACGAGAATCCTGTACCCGCATGATGGCTATTGTTATCACGAAAGGGAAGCCCCGCCAGTTTTGGCTTATGTGGACCAGCACAGCGGCAGCATAAACGGTACCAACAACCACAACTGTACATCGTATCGGCGGCTAATTCAGTAGCGAAACTTCCGAGCCAATAATCTATAGAAGCATTGTCCAGAACAACGCCCGGCTATTCGGTGGTGTGGACAACTCTTCTTACCAATCCAGGTATCTCCACAAAGCCTCCAGACCTTCCCAAGGCATGTACGGCAGCGTAAGCTAGCTAAAAGAATGAAATGGAAAACAAGAGCCAAGGAAGATAGATACTATTCTCAGAGGTTTATGCATCATCAGACAACTAGCTAACCAAGCAGACAACCATAACCCAACTCTTTGTGCTCAACAGAAGCTCAGGCATTTTGAGACAGGAAGTCTTGAATCCAAGCCCAAGTTTCTTGGTAACATGTAGGGGCATTCCACAAATCATAAAAATTCCATGCGCAACCATTTCCAATTGCATATTTCAACACATCCAAATTTCCAAAATTTGTAGCACAATAACTTGTCCCTACATCCCAAGGACACCCATGTTCATGGGCATATTTGAGCATTTCCAAGTCGCCCTTCCGAGCAGCTTCGGAGCATGTCTTCTCATCCCACAAGCAACCATTTTCATGGGCATACTTCAAGATTGCTAAATGGCCAATGAAAGGCAGCACGCGCACAAGTGGTTGCATTCCAAGGACACCCATTTTCATGGGCATACTTCAGGATATCTAAATGGCCACACATTGCAGCTTCAGAGCAAGTCTTTCCATCCCATGGACACCCATTTTCATGGGCATACTTCAGGGTTTCCAAATGGCCATTGGCGGCTGCTTGGTTGCATGTACCTGCACTCCAAGGGCAACCATTTTCATGGGCATACTTCAGGATGTCTAAATGGCCATTCTTTGCGGAAAATCTGCATGTACATTCATCCCAAGGACATCCGTTTTCGTGTGCGTACCGAAGGATTTCCAAATGACCTTTTCCCGCAGCTTCGCGGCATGTAAGATCTGTCCACAAACAGCCACACTCACGTGCATATTTGAGACATTCCAAATGACCACCTTTAGCAGCACCGGCGCATGTGTCCTCATACCAAGGACACCCGTTTTCATGGGCGTATTTCAGGATTTCCAAATGGCCATTTCTGGCAGCATGGCTACAAGTCCATCCATCCCAAGGACAGCCCTCTTCATGGGCATACTTGAGGATTTTCAAGTGCCCATACTCCGCAGCATACAGGATGACTTCTTTTACCGCTGACAGGTGTCAAAATGGATTCTCGTTTTGGCCAAACCGAAATCGAAAGCGGTCATTTCTAACAGAAGTGGTCATTTTGCGAATCCTGCATTGAAAAGACTGGATCCAAACAAAGTAAAGATGAAGAAATAAAATTGAATTTTATCACCATGGCAACAGTGTTGACCAAATGGCTATTAGCTTTACCAATACATTGATCTGATCAATTCTTTGCTAGCAGTAGCTCACCAACACACTCACAGACACTCCCCTTGAAAAGAGTTGATCAACTCCAAGGTTTCCTATTGAGCCTCTATGAAAAATCAGGCTTGGATTGCATTTTGTTGTCATCCTGCCATGGAATTCTCCATGGGAAAGGTGCTCCTGTTCTCACTCTCAGCACTCAATCTGCACTGTAGAGTCTATTAGAGGACTGGGTGGCTTTGCATGAAGACTGGAGCACTCAACTCAAAGATTCAATGGAGATTGTTGGCCCAAACTATGGCAAAAATTGCACATTTGCGCCAGTAGTCCGTCGATTACTCCAAGTAGTAGTAGAGAAGCTGCCGATTGTTTCATTCGTAGTAGCACTACTAGTAGCAGAGGCTCACGACCACTCCGTGGCTCCGTGGAGGAGGGAGCGATCCTCATGGTCGCTTCGTGAAAGAGGAAGCAGTCGTCGGCTGATCCGTCGCGTCGATCCGTGCCATTGTCGAGGCGTCGTTGTTGCATTAGCCATAGCCGCTTGTTCACTCTGTGGTAGTAGCGCTCCGTTCGCTCACTCGGTTCGAAGAGGAGGTGTCATGGTCGCTCCGTGAAAGAAGACTGAAAGAAGTCATCCGTCGAACGGAGAACGACCGAACGATCGAACGGCTGCCGCTGCTTCTAGCTTCCACCAAACAAGAGGAGCCTGTAATGGTGGTGAGTAGTAGCCTTTGTTAAGAGGAGTAGTCGCTATAGAGGAGTAGCATCATCTTGATAGAGTCAATAGAGAGTAAAGATAGAGGTATCGAACCGAATAATGACAACAAAAGAGGAGGATACGAGTGGCTTGGATCGATCGATCCGAGCGAGTGATGTCAGTTGAGATTAAGGTTAAGGCTATATAAGTCCCTTAAGTCTTTTCGAGGAACGTTCCAAGAGGTTCCGGTTCGCATTCGAATGTCTTACCGGGAGCGGGCTTGCGTTTGTCTCGATAGTTTAGATTCAGCCTGTATTTGCATGTCCATCCATCCCAAGGACAGCCATTTTCATGGGCATACATAATGATTTCCAAATAACCATTCTCTGCAGCTTTGGAACATGTCTTTGCGTCCCAAGGACATCCATGTTCATGGGCATACTTTAGGACTTCCAAATGACCATTCTCTGCAGCTTTGGAACATGTCTTTGCGTCCCAAGGACATCCATGTTCATGGGTGTTGGAGGTTGTATTACAGACACCTCAATACAAATCAGTCGTTTATCCCAATCTAGTTGATAGGGGATATCTATATCTATTCTCTAGTTACATACATGGGGAGTTTAACTGATCTATATGGTCACCCCCTTCACTATATCCTTTGAAGTTGAATCAATCCCAGAAATACATGGAGAAAGATCACTTCTTGGAAATAGCTTAACAGTAAAACCCTTTTGACCTTTACTAAGCTAGAGTGTTACTAGCAACCAACACTATTTCCAAGAAGATCATCTCGAATTCGAGATCTCGACCATGGGATATCGACATCCTATTACATGATATCCTCAAGCTATAAGGTAACCAACATCGAGTCAAGGTTGAGGCAAAAAGGGCTCTAGCCTCACTGAGAGAGCTATCCCAACAGCCTAGCAGGAAAAAGGCATCAATCGTCACAAGTTACCACAAAGACACGATCGATTGAAGATCTACCACGACAAGTCCAACCGGAACGGAGCAAGGCTCTGTACGGTACGGAGCAGAGGCTACTGTACGGAGCGCAGAAGGCTACCGTGCAGACGAACCGTGCAAGCCAACAAGAGGCAATCAAGCTCACAGGAGTGAGCAAACTTTGTGCTGCGGAAACAGCCATCGTACCACTGCCACGTGCAGGTACGAAAGACAACTACAAGAGAAGACTCATCGCTCGACGAAGTGCACGAGTGGTGCTGGCCAAGCTATCTTGCTAGCTAGCTACCAAGACGAGTCCAACAAGAACAAGCTTCCGGCGTGAACGGGAGCTACAAGGGCTACTGTACGTACGGGACGAACTGTACAAAACCTACGGTTGTACGAAGGTTACAGGAGTGACACGACGAGTGTCAAACACCAGGAGTGTTGCCGCGGAAGGAACTAGATATCAAGTTCCAATAGATACAGAAAGTACCGCAGAGGTACTTCCGCGGGAGTTCCTACAGCCTCACTATCAAGCCATCGACTCAGGGCTGATAGAAGAGAGGTGCGACAGAAAATTCCAACGCACAACAAGAAGAATTACCAGGCCGATCACTCGGCAACCACAGGTCCTACAAGAGGACTGTCATACACAGAAGTGGGCTACCATACAGTCACTGACAGGCCCTCAAGAGTGCAAGCACTCGAATCGACCTCAGAGCGAGTTGCATCCATCGGCAGTACAGTGATCCAAGCAGTCGGCCGATACGACGGCTGCTACCACTAGCCGGTTGCTACTGCTATTTTGCACGATCGGATCAAAGGATCCAACGACACGAAGCAACTGCTACAAGAAGACGTGACCGCTACTACTAGACGGTCGCTACTGAAACGTCGATACCGACAGCGGCAACAGAAGTGCTATATAGTAGCGACCGATTGAATCGGTGCTAACGCTACGAATATCAACAACAGGATTGACAGCGCCATTGTCGAACCGATCGGCAATTGGCTGGACAGGAGCGAATTTGCGAAATTTGCGAATTCCACCAAGAAGACGACCAAAGCGATCCAACGATCGCTGCTACTGTCAACAAGACCAAGAGTTTGTCGCTGCTACTAGCCAGTCGCAACGGCGACAGCAACAAGAGTTCGTTACTACTATTGACGAACAACAACAAGAAGATCGACAGCAGCGCCATTGTCTCTGTCAATTGGCAACAGTGTTGCCAATTGCTGTCGGCAGAAGAAGACTTTGCTTTTTGTGAGGAAATTGCTGACAGCAACCATGGAGTTCCACGGAATGGCAAAGAACAGCCTGCAGTTCAGCGAGCAGCCACTGAACAGGAAAAAGGTATCTTTCGGGATATCTTTCCAGGAGTGTACGGAGTCAAGACCAAGATCTCTCCGTACGGCATACCGGCAGTGTACACCAAGAGGATTCTATGGCGAATCCAAAGCACACGAAGTATGCCACCGGTACAGGAGCTACCACCTGCACTGGAAGTGCAGCTACCAGCACACGGCGCATGTCCTGGACCAGATAGCTAGCTAGCTACTGGTACCATCAGGAGCACGTCGAGTACAAGCTACTATACTGGTACAGTATGCCGTGCAGAAAGCTAGCTAGCCAGCTAGATAACCGGCACAAGAGCTACCGCAACAGTGCAAGCTGGCGCTACAAGAAGCACAGGAGTGCTTATGCCTCCATTGCTTGAATATTTTCTCTGGAGTGTGCATTGAGTTTACACTCAGCACCTCCTACCCCTTTCATGGAGTGTGTATTGTGGCATCCAAGCCACAGCACCTCCTACTACCTTTTATGGAATGTGTACTGTGCAACTCAACCACAGCACTTCCACCACTGATTACAGGCAAACCTGAGGCAACAACAGCCTCAGGTAGGCAAACAACAGATACCATTACAAGACCATGCCCTTGCTATTTGATCACAGCAAGTGCACAGGAGTGTGAGGGTACCCAAATCCAAAACCTACAATCCTACAAACAAAATCATCAATAACATCCGCCTTTATAGGCAATGCCGTAACCACCAATGGCCACAACTACCGGCGAACACCATCATGGCTACATCAACAGCCAGCATCGATGGCAACAACAGCCACAACGGTATCTACCGCCATCAATGGCAACAACAGCCAACAACGGTATCTACCGCTACCAAACCGATTACAACGAAATCGACACCAAACCAGAATTGCATCTACAATAATGGCAACTGCAACAACAGCAGAACGACAGTGAACGTTGAACCGAGTAGCTAGCTACAGCAAGCACTCAAGAGTTCAAGACAAGGAACCAAGCCACAGGTGGCTGGAGCATTCAGAGTTTGACCCACAAGCGGGAACCTGATCAATAGAAACAAACAAGAGGGTGCACACCTCAGCTCACTGCAACTACTGTACAGAGATGCAACCAACCTGTCTCCACCAACAACAGAAGTACACCAGTACAACAAATCAAGCCAACCATAGATACAACTACGGACAACTACAAGTTCAGTCACAGCCTGCTCACAGGAGTGTAAGAGCAGTGACAGAACCAACACTTGTCCTGCCACAGCCAACTCACAGGAGTGTAAGAGCAGTGGCATAACCAACCAAAGGATCTACCGACACATCACCATCGAACCATCATCGACCGTGACACGTCCAGGTCCAGTGGAGCCCATCAAGTTGGAGCATCCACAACACTACCGAATACTTCCTAACAAGTTTCCAAACTTCCAAGGGCTTCCAGCCCCAACTCAAAGTATCATTGTGGCAAGGAACTTCCTCCTAGTTCCAGCTACAACAACAGTTCTCCCAAGTGTCGCTACAGCTGACTTCCCAGTCTCAGCTACGGCAAACCAAATGACGTACAAGTGTACCAAGTGACGGCACCAGTCACCACAAGTGACGACACCAGCAGTCACGAGTCTCACATGAGTATAAACAACCATGACAAGAGGAAACAATAACTCAACCATTTCCTCATTCCATCTTCAATCTCTCTCCAACAACAACAA